TCATATGGTTTGTACGACCACTATCCACTAGCCAAGTTTCTCCATTGCTAATGGATGCATAACAAGAAACGATAAATAGTTGCTCCTCCTCTTGTTGATTTATGGTTTGAGCTTCATTTGCTTGCACTTTCACCTTACTGATTCTTTCTTCATGCCCCATTTGGTGGCACTTACTACATTTTGCATCGGTTCCGCTCCAGCACATAGAAGAAAGATGGTTAGTTCTGCCATAATACCGACAAGGAGCATAAGTACCTTTATTTTTATTTTTGATGACCGCACCACTCGCTGCTAGCTCCGGAAAATCCAATTGAGCCTTTATTCTTTCTCCATTTTTTATTTTTACCTTTGTTTAAATCTCGATTTTTCTAAATTTGTAGCTTAGCTTGCATTGCTCCCTCAAATGTCCCTTCATCTCCGATCTGCCTTCTTTATTCATGTGCTTTTAATGTATTTAGAAGCTCGTGAAGTGTGATCTTAGTGAGGTCTTTTACTTTCTCTAATGTAGAGATCTTGGCCTCAAATCTTTCTGGTAATGTTACCGATAACTTCTCAACCACCCCGCTATCGTGTATGTCTTCACCAATGAGCCTCGGCTTGTTGACTATTCCCAACAAACGGTTCGCATACTCCTTTATCGTTTCGTAGTCTTTCATTCTCTGTAGCTCGAAATCTCTTCCGAGAGTCAAGACCCTCATGCTCCTTGTTCTTGCATTACCTTAAAACTCATTCTTGAGATATTGCTAGATCCGGAATGGTGTTTCCATATTCATAATTCGGTAAATAAGGTTTCGAACACGATTGAATATAATCGAGTTTTTGGCTTTGAAAAGCTTTGATGTTTTCTCCTTGTGAGTTTTTATCTCGCTGTAAAGTGGATTCTTCTATAACTGGTGGAATAACAAACTCATTTGATACAACTTCCCAAAAATCCCAAGCTTACGGATATGTTGTCATTTTGACGATTGACGACTAGTAATTTTCACCAGTGCAAATAGGAGGTAGAACAGGAGAAAAGTTTTTTAAAGCCATATAATATCCGAAGGATTGAAAGAAAAATATAACACACGAGATCCCTTTAAGAAAATAAGCTTCGATACCAACTCGTTGAATTATAAGAAAGAACTAGGTGCGTAACAAGAGATCGAAACCGATATCTTTATTCAAATGCAATGCTTGATTTAAATACACGAACTTGTAACAGAAAAATCAGAAATAAACAGCAACCACTAAGCTAAAAATTAGCAACAACAACAGAAAATGATGACCAATAAAATAACAACAACTAAACAAAGGCTTGGTCTTCTCATCTTGACACGTTCGAGCAGCTATTTTGACGAGTTCAAGCAGCATGTTCAGCTGCACGTTCAGCTGCTTCTTAGGCATATTTCACACAAACCAGGAAAGAACAAATGTTAAGGTGTTAATTATCATTAATAATCCGAGAAGGCGAGTAGGTTTTAAGGTGAGAAATAAAGCACGAACCTTGTAGTTTTGAGGGTTAATGCAAAGTAACTCTCTAATACTATTTCTATTTACCTTTTTTTATTGTTCTAGATCGCTATCAATACGAGCGAGGGACAAAAATTTATTCAATCTATGATGCTTTGGCTTCAAAATTGTAAAGTGTTAGATTAAAAGGTATTAATCGTAGATTGGCACGGAGGTTTCAATAATTGATGAAATGATAAACTAATTTACTATTGCATATAGGAGAGTATTTAAGAGATGTTAGAGTTGAAGTACCACGGTGATGCAATCGTTCCATTTAAGACAAGCCTTCCTATTGAGTTGAGTTAATTAAAAAAAAGGGCTATTATCATGAGAAACCACACAACATACCGCATTAATATCATGACATAATGGAGAATGGCTAACTAAGAACTTCTCATACTCTAAAGCCTAAAGAAACAACGACAATAGGTGGTCGAAGCATACGAGCATAATCTTCATCAAAACATCTTGCGATATCACCTCAACGAGTAACATGAAGTTCTTCATTCTTTAAGATACAAAACATATTAAAATTCAAAGTTAAAAATTTAAATCTCTAGATGGAAGAAAAATAAAGTGTATGGGTTCCATAAGCAACAACCTTATGTTGTTGATCACGATCTCTCGTTCGCACTCAAGACATAGATTAATATTTACAATGGCTGCATCACTTTGATGCAATCTAATACATTTTTTAAAAGATTAAAATAAATAAAACGTTGTCAAGCAACCAACAATGAAATGAAGAAATAAAAGTAAGAGCTAAAATCGTGTTTAATTTGCTCACTTATAAGAGTTCAAGAATCTCGACCTTTAGTTAATGGGCATGAGAAATCGATGAATAAAAACATGTAGCTTGAGATGGTAAGGGCAACGGTTTCTAACAATTGGATTTAAACATCTCGCTTAAGATCAATGAAAATCTCATTATCAATAATAGCATTGTAGAATCTATTTTCATATGCATAGAAGTTCCTAAGCTTATAAAAGTTACCTTCGTAATCTTAGCTAAAAAATGAGAACTATCTTTTATTCTACCTAAGGCCTAAATAGCACATCCCTATCGATAAAGAAATATATAAAAATGTAATATAAAGCATATGCGAGTCTTGACAAATAGAACAAAACAAGCACAATTAGATATGGAGAGGGCAACTACCGAAGCAAAATATAGACATCCTCAAGCATGGTTTTTTTTAAAAAAAAGAAAAATTAACCTTTTATGTTTTTAATAAATTCATGCAATTAATTTTCTATTTGCAATATTTTTTAAAATTATTGAATTTGAAGTACCTTAGTGTTCATGAAAAGGCAATCGAAGTTGGTTAGTTGACCATTGTTTGTGGCTATCCAAACTCAACAAGTACAAAATTGAATTGATATTCCATAAGCATACATTTGAAGAGCCGATATTTGGCTAGTCATGATTTTATTGAATATCTATTGTAAAAAAAGGTTAGAAGAAGACTGTGTAAGAGATAACCGAGTAATATGTATGACGAATTTGATATAGTATGACAATAAAATTAACGGATGAATCATTAAAATTGGCATTTAGAAATAAATTGAAAGCAAGACATGCATACATATTAATTGGAATCGATGCGTTTTTTTTTAAAAAAAAAAATAGAGCAAAACAATCGATTACAAATGACAATACACCTCTAAACAAATTGCCTAAAGCATCTTTGCAAAAATATTTTTTCCAAGCTCATCATTTGCCTCATCATCATCATATATAATCATTGTCAAATCATTCATGTATGTGGCCCTTGAAATCGTAATATAAAGTTGGCTATGTGTTAACAACTGGTCCGAAACACGAACTATTTTGAGCGACTATCCCTAGATCTTATCAATTATCATTGCATAGAATTGTCAAGTTAGGAACCAATATCGTTCAAAACTAAATGGTTATTTATTTTAAATGATTGAAAAAACAATCCTAAACATAATATATTTAGAATTGGTAACTAACTGCGGTTTGGGCAACCTCCTTCTAACGTTAATTCTCAACTAACAAACTAAATAGAATATATTTCTATCTTAAATAAGTGAGGCATATAAACATTGAAACAATAAAAAAATGTAAGAACATTTATAAGAGCAAAATAAAGGCAAAAGTACATAGCCGTTGAAAAAAAATGCATGTATAATGGCCTAAGCACAAAAAACAATGAAAAAAATTGATAATGAGATAAAGAAAACAAAACTGAAACAACAAAAAAGGAGTAGAGGAACGCAATCCAAAGTAGCTGCAACAAAAGCATAGCGAGCAAATCAGTCAAAAGAAAACAGACGAAAAAAAAAAAAAAACATAATGAGCAAAAGCATCAACAAAAACCCAAAAACTATTGAAAAACAAATGAAATGGAAATAAACCAAACCTGAAAAAAAAAAAAAAAAAAAATAAAAAAAAACCCACAAAAATCAACAACCTATGATTGCTGCAAACTTACAGAAAAAGTGTTTGGAACATGAAATTTTTTGAGTATGATCTACTTTTTATCATATATTAATTAAAGATTATTACGTGTTAGTGAATTCTGTCCACATCTATATTTTTCATCTCGGGTGATGGAAATAACTCAAATAGAAAAAAAAAATCAAACGTTGGATATTCAACTAAAAAAAAAATTAAAGGTTAAACAATCTAATTATATTTTTTTCAATATTTAAGTGGAACTCATTTTTTTTTTTTTGTTACATGTCAGTTTAAAATAGTAGTTCATTCCGATACATCAATATTTTCTAGTCTTAACTCATCATAGACATTCAAACAAAAATAAATAAATAAATAAAATTTTGGCACTGAAATAAAAAAGTTTACCAATTGAACACTAAAAAACATTGACATTCAAATTGCAGTTTTCTCGTTGTTTTTTTTTCTTTTTTACTATATGGATGGATTAATCTTGAAATTATGAAAACTAGCTTTTGGATAGTTTTAGGCTGTAAAGCCCAAATAATATATATCAGTAAAATAAAATTACTTCTCATTTATAGAAATAGTTAAAAGAGTTCTATTCCACTTTCACAGCATATATCTGGCACTTCCGTCTAATATTAGACAACTATTTTCTCGCATCAATACCTATCCGTCATTTGCATGTTTGTTTGAAGTTCAAATCTTCAAGAATCCTTTCTGTTATCAAACAAGTATCTACACTTGTTGAATCCTCTTTGCTTTAAAAGATTCCCTAATTACAGTGTTAACACACGTAATAAATTCCTGAAAACACAAGCTAAAGAACACATCATCTAGCTTCACTTTTTATTTTTTTCCCCTAACTTCCCTATCTTTGATCTTCAACAGGGCTAATTCTGATAAGGTTTGCTCTGGTTTCCATGTGCTGTTTGAATGGAATTTATTTAGTAATATATTCAGTCACAAATACAATATAGTCATGCTGTGATAAGCTTGGTAAATTCTTCTCTTTATAATATTTTTATACTAACAAAATATTTCCATTGGCTGCTAATTTTGTAAGGAGTAGACAATAGCCATGACCACCATTGTTAAGGGGAATGAGACTCCAACAAGGCTTGAGGTTTGTGCTCAAACTTCGTCATACTCATATTTCTTTCAATGAATCGATCGGTAAAAGAAATATATTGACTCGATTTCTTGGATGCCAGGGAAAAAATAAAGCGTTGCTAGTTTGTTGGATTCTGGGACTTGGGTCCCTTCTAGCATGGAACAGTTTGCTAACCATAGAAGATTACTACTATAACTTGTTCCCGGTACTTAGCTCATTGTGTTTTCCTGTCTGCTGTTCTACTAGAATTTTGTGATTAGGGTTAACAAAACTTTTTGTTTGATGATGATTTTCTTTTGCTTCGAAGAAATACCATCCTTCGAGGGTAGTTACTCTTGTTTATCAACCATTTGCACTTGGAACAATAATATTATTTGCATACAATGAGGCGAAGATCAACACCAGAAAGCGGAACATAGCTGGATACATACTCTTTACTGCAAGTACTTTCATGCTCATAGTTGTAAGTGCTGTTGATGCTCTATCTTGATTAATGCAAATGTCAGGGTTTAATTTTTTGTTTTTACGCATGCATTTCGACTACTCAATGACTCCAGTAATTTGGGTCTGTTTTATGAATTGGAACAGGTGGATTTAGTCACATCAGGTAAAGGAGGAATTGGACCTTTTATTGGTGTATGTGCATGTGTTGCTGCTTTTGGAATTTCAGATGCACTTGTTCAAGGTGGAATTGTCGGTGACTTGTCATTAATGTGCCCTGCATTCATCCAGGTTAGATGTTTCAGAAAAACTGTAATGGCATTTCAAGATATCTAATTCCTTTTTGCTGTCATTTAAAACAACTTGCCATCTTAGTACATTGGTTTTGTGTTCATGCAGTCCTACTTTGGTGGGTTGGCAGCATCCGGGGCCTTGACTTCTGTTTTGAGGCTAATCACAAAAGCAGTATTTGAAAAAAGCGATAATGGTCTTCGCAAAGGAGTTAGTATGTGATGTTTTCTTTAAGATAAATAACTGAATTACCATTCTCATATGGTGAATAGTTCACCGGAATTAATAGCATAATTAAAGAAATACTGACGACTATTGCTTTTTTGTAATGCTTGCAGTGTTATTTTTGGCGATTACCACTTTTCTGGAGTTTACATGCATCCTGCTGTATGCATTAGTCTTTCCAAAACTTCCAGTAGTGAAGTACTACCGTGCAAAGGCAGCCTCAGAAGGATCGAAGACTGTTTCAGCCGACCTTGCAGCTGCTGGCATCCAGAAACCTGAAAATGAGCTAGTATTGTATCTTTCTTTTCATCTTACTAGCCAATGTTTGGCTGGGAAAGATTACTTTTTCCGATCGATGGAATTTTGAAATTCTGAACCATTGTCAATTTCACGCTGCTCTTGCAGGATGCCAATGATGCCAAAAACCTTGAGCGTTTGAGCAATAAACAACTATTGTTTCAAAATATAGATTATGCACTGGGCCTGTTTCTGATATATGTGCTGACATTATCAATTTTCCCAGGGTTCTTGTATGAAAATACTGGTCAACACAAGTTGGGTGAATGGTAAGTGCATATTCATGACTCATTCTTCATTTTACATTACTGAAAGCGAGGCAGAAAAAGATAACCCACTTGTCCCACTTGACTGAACAATGCATTGAAATTTTTAGGATAGTCTAAAACAATCTCATGGTTGATGATGTTTCAGGTATTCCCTTGTTCTGATTGCAATGTACAATGTGTGGGATCTTATATCAAGATACATTCCCCTTGTGAAATGCTTGAAGTTGGAGTCCAGAAGAGGCCTGATGATTGCAATTCTGGCTCGTTTTTTACTCATTCCCGCATTTTACTTCACTGCAAAATATGGTGATCAGGGATGGATGATATTGCTAACATCTTTTTTGGGAATAACAAATGGTTATCTCACTGTGTGCATCCTTACAGAGGCACCCAAAGGTTACAAGGTTAGTCAATACAAACGCTAAGATGTACAACAAAAGCATAGTTTTCTGTGGCTTTCGATGATAAGCTCTTGGTTTTTTTTTTTTTTTTTTGTTTCCCCGGTTTTGTAGGGACCTGAGCAAAATGCTTTGGGTAATCTGATTATGGTATTCCTATTAGGAGGCATATTTGCTGGGGTTTGCCTTGATTGGCTGTGGCTCATAGGTAAAGGCAGCTTTTGAAGAGCCAAGTTCAGGCCACCATTGATGAAAGTCGGTTCCTTTCTCTCCAATTCAATGCTGGTCAATGAATGGGAAAACTGCACGCATCAATTCTCATTAGGATGATAGAAACTGATCAGATAGGAATGGATGAAGGAACAACTCTTTCATCTGATGGGGGTAGCAAACCAGCAACAGTGTTAGCTAACACACCAAAGATGTCAGGATTAAATGTAGAGGAATCTTATGACAGCATTGTAATTTTCGTACATGTTTTCGAAAACACAGTTGCATGGCCTCCATTGCTATGATCCAATTCATCTTATTAGTGTTTTCTAATGGGAAGATTTACTTTAAAAATACTACCTTTTACGCTCACAGTGGCACTAGACATTTTCCTGGTCTCCTTTCAATTGTGATCACATGCTAGATGAGCATCCGACAAACAGGTCTGTTAGGTAAAATTGTCATGCCGATGTAAAGTGAGAAGACCTTTTGGCAAGTACTACCAAATTATAGGTCAAGCATGCCAAAGAAGATTATCTCATGCACCAATGCCACGGAAATAAATCAAAATCACATCCAAGACTCGGGGCACAACCTGACATGACATGATGATCGATACAAATCTCCTAACACATGGTTCCAAAATATCAACTTCGATTATGGTTTTAACATTAAAAAGGCTGCTCGGTTATTCTGACTAGTAATCATACATTAGAGCAAGAACATGAAGCACAACAAGGCTTTCAACATCATGTAGTGACTACATATGCAGTCACAAACTAATAGCCATATCTAGCAGGCATCCTTAACAAAGAACAAAAAAACATTGCTTTCAGGCATCCAAGGTCCCCACTCCCTACCCTCAATTCCATATCACTGATTGCACCTCACACCCATGGTACTTTTCTGACTTATTCAAAATTGTGGTTGAAATTCCCCAGCTTCAGATCGATGGTTCTACCCATACAAACCTTTCAACTTTCAAGAATCTTTTCAAGTAAAAGATAACCTTGCTCTTTTCCTCAACTCCAATCAGTACTCTTTGGCTAGTAGTCCATCCACGCTTGCAAGATTGGTAAGATCACCTTGCCTACTGATCTTGTAATGTGATCTTGCTGCCTGGTATAAGTAAATATCTTCTTTCATATGTGTAAAAATTTGGTACGATCACCTTGTCTGCTGATCTTGAAAGTTTTTTACTGCAGAAATTAAAGGGCTTGTTAATCTCCTTGCCATCTTCAACTATTTCTACAGGTTTATGAATCTTCAATGTTGTAGTTGTTCTTAGAACAAGCAACCGGCCAGCTTGTAACTACTGGAAACATATCTACAGCATCACATTCTTGACATTGACTAACTAAGTTCAGTGGAGTAGCCATGAAAAGTTCTAGTCAAAGTGAGGCTCCAAGAAGAGTACTCGAGGTTTGTGTTCAAGCATTGATTGGCAGTTGTTGATTAACAGAAAGATGATACATCTTCCAATTAATTGTAGCGTTAATGTCCTATTGATAACCAGGGAAGGTTTATAGCGATGGCGTGTTGTTGGGCTCTTGGACTTGCAACACTTGTCACATGGAACTGTGTGCTGACAATCGAAGATTACTATTATAAATTGTTCCCGGTAGGTAGTTCAAAGTCTACCTTTCAGTTCATGTTGGATGAAAGATAATTTGGTTTGGCCGCCAGTGGTTTTGCTTTTTAAATGTGGAAGTGCATAGGTTGTCTGAATGAAAGAAGAAGAGGAACTTCTCCATGTTCAAGTGATATCTGATGCATTAATTTTTTTCCTCGTTTACGAAACTGTACATGTACGATTTATCTGCTTGAAATGTCACTTCTTGCTAAAGATTTATGAGCCAAAGATTAATTGATTGACAAGGTTTTCGCATGTTTTTGAAGAAATACCATCCTGCAAGGCTTCTCACTCTCATTTACATGCCATTTGCTGTTATAGCTATGGCTATACTGACATATTATGAGTCAAAGATCGATACTCGAAAGCGCAACATATCAGGCCTCGTACTTTTCTTTTCGAGTTCATTGTTGCTTCTACTTGTAAGTACCACTCATACTCTCAGTTGGATTTCATTGATTCACTAACTGTTGCTTCTAACAAATTTGTCTCCCAATTTACTATCACTATGAAACAGTTGGATTTAGCTACATCAGGTAAAGGTGGAATTGGAAATTTCATTGGTATATGCGCAATTGCGGGTTCTTTTGGAATTGCAGATGCCCTTCTTCAAGGTGGGATGGTTGGAGACCTATTTTTTATGTGCCCTGAATTCCTTCAGGTTGGTCTTTTTTCACATTTCATTCAATGCTAGTTCATCTCCATGTGCATCCTTAGATTTTCGATATAACCTGATGACTTAACACCAGTTGTTCAATGTTTTACAGTCCTACCTTGCTGGTATAGCTGCTTCAGGTTTTCTAACCTCTGCTCTGAGGCTACTAACAAAAGCAGCATTTGAAGAACTTCCTAATGGTCTTCGCAAAGGAGTTAGTATGTGACTTCTCATTCATTGATGGACAACATTTTGCTTTATATTATAAGCTCCTAGTCCACATTCACAGGAAATTTCAATCCCCTTTAGCTTGCCTTAGCCTCCCATAAAGACCAATTTTTCTCACATTATGTCAAGTTAGTGCAAAGAAAACAATGTGGATTTAAATATACAAATTTGCTTCAGTCCTGAAAATGGACCAGCTAAGATAAAGTAATGATTTGTCCAAATGCTTCAATCCACAACTTTTCATTCTAGTTTTCTAACATTTCAGTGACAATGCCATTGATAATTACTTTTCTTACCATCTTTTGCAGTACTGTTTCTAGTGATCTCCACTTTCTTTGAGTTTCTATGCATTCTGGTATATGCATTTCTCTTCCCCAAACTCCCAATAGTGAAATACTACCGCTTGAAGGCATCCACTGAAGGATCAAACACTGTCTCAGCCGACCTTGCAGCTGGTGGCATACAAATAAACCAGGAGGTATTACAGCTTTATTTTGCTTCAAAATACTAACTTAGAGAGAAGCTTTGAGAATCCATCAACCTTGTTGGTTTTGGCATTTTGACAGGATGAAGATGAAGCAAAACTCCATGAGAGGCTAAGCAACAAGGAATTATTCTTTCAGAACATAGACTATGCATTTGATCTAATTCTTATATTTGTGCTGTCATTATCAATTGTCCCTGGCTTCATATATGAAGATACTGGATCACACCATTTGCACTCATGGTAAATGCCCATTTTGTGTCTAGGCTGCATTTATGTTATCTGAGAGCCATTTTTTAAAAATATAGCTTGTCCATGAGTTCTTTTCTACCAATCCTAGATAAGGCCATTTTTCAATCCATGTTAACAGAAGATTAATGTTCATAAAAAGCATATGAATATTTTAACATTCAATGATCTAATTTCGACCAAGAATTCAGAACAGACTAAACTTGTGTTTCCATGCTATAAAGGCCTCTCTCCTTTTTAACTTTTTAGATTTTCATGTTTCTCGTGAGTTTTCAGGTATGCACTTGTTCTGATTACAATGTACAATGCATGCGATCTGATATCAAGATACATTCCTCTTGTGGAATTCCTGAAGCTTAAGTCCAGAAAGGGCCTTATGATCGCAGTACTTTCTCGCTTTCTTCTCATTCCAGCATTTTACTTCACAGCAAAATACAGTGATCAGGGATGGATGATCTTTCTAATTTCCTTCTTGGGATTAACAACTGGCTATCTCACAGTCTGTGTTATTACAGAAGCACCCAAAGGTTACAAGGTAAGTTCACATTTGATCCAATCTTAATAATATGTCAATCTGCAAATAAGTTTTCTTAGTAGTTGCTCATAAATAACAATGTCCTGTCCTGTCTTCTGTTTTGTAGGGACCTGAACAAAATGCCTTGGGTAATTTGCTAGTTCTATGTGTATTATGTGGTGTTTTTGCAGGGGTTGCCCTTGATTGGTTGTGGCTTGTAGGTAAAAAGGAGTTTTAAAGTGCAAAGGCTATGCCATTCTCAGGAATGATAATATGCCAACAGCCTATTCTGTAATCATTAATATTGAATATTTAACTTTTACAAAATCAAACAAGTTAAAAGAGCATTCAATATGCATCTTGTAAACTGATATGAATCGGGAAATATTGGTTGTATTGTTGTACTTCTACCGGTATTACAACTTACATAAATATAAATATATATAACATCTAAACTAAAAAATTATAAACTAGGAAATTATAGCTATGAATTTTGTAAAACAAGTTAAAAAGCACTCAATATGCATCTTGTAAATTGATATGAATCAGGAAATATTGGTTGTATTATTGTACTTCTATTGGTATTACAAGTTACATAAATATAACTAAATATAACATCTAAACTAAGAAATTATAAACTATGAAATTACAGCTATAAATGTTCATAAACTTCTTGATTGGAGCCTTAGATTCCTATATTTACATCCTAGGATACACTCAGAATATTCTAAATAGAATATTTCCTGTTTCAACACTCCCCTCAAGTTGGCTTGTAAATGTCTTCCATTGCAAGCTTGCTTACCGTAAAATCAAATTGTTTTTTCATTAGACCTTTGGTGAGTATATCAGCACCCACTTGTTGAGAAGTAGGAATATAAGAAATGCAAATAAGCCCACTTTAAAGTTTCTCCTTGATAAAGTGTCTATCAACTTCAATATGTTTAGTCCGATCACAAAGAATCAGATTATGAGCAATTGAAATGGCAGACTTTGTTATCACAATAAATTTTCATAGGAAGTGATGCGAGAAGCTTCAAATCTTCCAAGCAATTTCTTAATCCACATAGCTTCATAAATCCCTTGTACGAGGGATCTAAATTCTACTTCAACACTACTTAGTGCCACAACCTTTTGCTTCTTACTTCTCCAAGTAACTAAATTTCCTGCAACAAATGTACAATATCCAAATGTTGATCGCCTATCGATCACACTACCAGCCCAATCAGCATTAGTATAGACTTCCACCTAAAAGTGATCACGATTTTTAAATATCAAACCCTTTCCAAGAGTCCTTTTTAGGTATTTTAGTATCCTATAGGTAGTTTCAAAATGCTTGCGACTCGGTGCATACATGAATTTGCTTATCAGAGCTTACCGTAAATGTTATATCGGGACAAGTGTGTGACGGATATATAAGTCTACCAACCAAGCGTTGAAATTTCTCCTTTTCAATCACATCCTCAATTTTAGTAGGATTTAGTTTGAGATTTACCTCAATCGGAGTCTCAATAGCCTTGCAACCCGTAAGATCGATTTAATTCGATAAACCAAGGATTTTTTTTTTATTTACAAATATTCCTTCACGCGATCTTGTAAATTTCATGCCAAGAAAATATTTCTATGTTCCTAGGTCTTTAATTTCAAAGCCTTCGGCTAGTCCCTTTTTCAATCTTGCTAATTCATCAAGATCATCACCCATTAGTATCATGTCATCAACATATACAATTAGGATTGCTATTTTTTTCTTTATCGGTGTGTTTATAAAAAAAGAGTATGATCTACCCGACTTTAATGATACCCATATCCTTTTAAAGTTTTCTCAAACCGTTCAAACCATGCCCTTGGAAACTGTTTAAGGCCATACAATGACTTCTTAAGTCCGCAAACTTTTTTTGACTAACAAACTCTTCAAAACTAAGAGGTGGCACTCATAAAGACTTTCTCTTCCAAATCACCATTCAGGAAAGCATTTTTCACATCTAGTTGGTATAAGACCCAATTGAAATTAATTGCAAGAGATAATAAAACATGTATAGAGTTAATTTTGGCTACTTGGGGCAAAGGTTTCCCGATAATCAACATCATATGTATGAGTAAACCCCTTAACCACAAGTATAACCTTGTATCTCTCTACACTACCATCTGCTTTGCATTTCAAGTAAATACCCATTTACACCTAACTATTTTCCGACCTCTAGACAGACTTTACAATCTCCCATGTTTCCTTTTTCTTTAGTGCATTTATTTCCTCCATCATAGCTATTCTCCAATTTAGATCACCAAGTACTTCCCGAATATTTCTTGGAACAAATAGGTTAGAGATTTTTGAAGTAAATGCCCTATGGTTTTAAGAGAGACGGTCATGAGATAGATATTTTATAATTTGGTGATTAATGCAAGAATGAGTTCCTTTTCTAAGTGCAATAGGAACATCAAGATCACAATATTTATGAGAAACAACATTGGGTAAAACAGGAGGTGAAACAAGCATTAGGTAAAACTCGGGTGTGAAATAGGAGGATTAGTATTTTGAAAAGTGTTTTGAGTACCTAAATCCGAGGTAATGGATCGACTAGGTGCTCGAAGCAACGAGTAGGTTCTTTACCCTTTTGATGTTTCTTTCCCCTTGTATAAACAATGACCTTCGATTCTCGATCTTTAGGATTATTTTACAGTATTTCTCTCCCTATCAAAGATTCAGCAATTTTTAGCAAAACAATATTCTTATCAATAGAAATTGCTTTGTCATTTTCGAAAACACTAGGTGTAAAGGCCACTGTTTGAGGTAAAGTAGTAAAAATAGGTATGTTGTCCTAACTATTTTCTTCCTCTAAACTCTCCCCTAAAGACAATTCTTTTGAAAATAAGGCTGATTTTCAAGAAATAAAACATTTATAAGTAACTAGGACTTTTCGGATCTTTGGATGAAAACACTTGCACCACTTTTGATTTGATGCATAGCCAATAAAAATATATTTTTCAGCCCTTGGATCAAGCTTGGACTGATCCTTATTGGGTAAATGAACATAAGCTATGCACTCAAATATTTTAAGGGATAAATTGGATGAAATTCGATTTTCGGGAAAGAAATTTTTAAAGCACTCAAGAGGAGTAATGAATTTAAGTACACGAGTAGGTATTCCGTTTATCAAATATGTTACCGTTAAAACCGTTTCTCCCCGGAGATACTTAAAGACATGCATAAAAACATAAGAGACTAGGCCACTTCGAATAAGTGTAGATTTTTTTGCTCGCCTATACCATTTTGTTGAGGTATATCAACACAAGTGGATTGATGATGAATGTCCTTTTTTAAAAAAACAATTCTAAGAATTTCATTGAAATACTCAGTACCATTATCAGTATGACAAATACCAATTTTAGTTTGAAATTAAGTTTCAATCATGTTATCAAATTTTGAAACACTTTCTTAACTTCAGCATTTATCAACCAGTAAATATACCCAACACTACCTAGTATGATCATCAATGAAGGTTACAAATCATTTTTTGCTCGAATAAGTAGGAATCCGTGAACAACCCCAAACATCATTATGAATTAAATAAAATGGTCGTCGTGGTTGATAAGGTTTTGAAGGATAAAAATTTTTATGATTTTTTGATAAAATGCAATATTCACAAGTGAAAAAAAGAACTATCCAGTGCCATTAAATAAGGTAGGAAACAATTTTTTAAGATAGAGAAAACTAGGATGCCTTAGTCTATAGTGCCGAGCATTATTTTATCTTTAACAAGGATAGAACCGATACTACTTAGTCCTTGAGTCTTTTATCCTTGGAGACTTCATCTTCAAAATAGTAAAGATCATCGATCATTCCGCACTCGCCAATCTTCTTCCTCGAATTATGATCCTAAAACACATAATAGGAATCAAAGAAAGTGACACCGCAATTATAATCTTTTGATAATTTGCTAATAGACAGAAGATTGCATGCAAGTTTTGATACATGCAAAATAGATTTAAGGAATAAAGTATCCGAAAAAATAATCGAACCTTTGCTAGCAATAAGTGAGTAGGATCGATCTGCTATATGAATTTTTTTCATGACCCGAACTTGGAACATAAGTATGAAATAAATTTGAAAAACTTGTCATATGGTCGGATGCTCTAGAATTAATGATCCATGGAGCGAATTGTGATAAAGAGTAACATATTAAGGTATTTAAATCACTACCCGTTTGTGCCAAAAAAAAAAGCATTAGGAATACCGGATAATCTAGAATTGGATTTGAGCATAGAGTTCTCTAAATCTCAAATTAGATAGGTCGGATCATCCAAATTTAGCTCCTTCTTCTCACCGGTTGAATACCCAATCTTTCCCCCGTCGTGGATGCACATGTGTACGGATCGAGACCAATGCAATAAATTATCTCTATTCATTTTGATAGTGGTAATCCGAACCGAATGAGAATCTAAAGATAAGTCACGAGGATTCTTTGTCTTATTGATGGAATCTTTGGTTTTGTACGAAGTAGATGGATGAACAAGAGTGAATGTCAAATTTAATGTAATTTCAAACATGGTGGTGAGGAAGAAAATAAATTAGATCGGTTGGTGGCTAGGGTTTTTTGTTTAGAAAAAAATAAACCAATTTTGATACCATGTAAACCGATATGAATCGAAACTATTGGTTGTATTGCCGCACTTCTACTCGGTATTACAACTTACATATATATTGCTACATGTAGCATCTAAACTAGGAAATTATAACTATAAATCTTCCCAAACTCTTTGATTAGAGCCTTAGATTCTTATATTTACATCCTAGGATACATCCAAAATATTCTAAATAGAATATTTCCTATTGAAACACATTTACATTTGGATGAAGGGGGAGGATCAAATTGTGTTCTAATAGAAAGCAGATTCTCTTTCAAGCTGACAATCCTCCAATATCAATATTCCAAAAAAAAAAAAAAAAAAACAATTATGATACAGTCAAGGCCATCTGACCAATTCCTTAAGAGGTCAAACTTCCCCTTTCTTTTTTTCCTCCTTGTTTAGAAAATGCTAGCCTTAGCTAACCCATAGACATCCCAAAATGCTAGGATGCACTAGCAGCAGCAGGACAAATATAGTAACCGGTTTTGTCTATGGATAAAAACTGTGCAGTGACAATTATAGTTCAATGGTCAACATGGAATCTCTCTTTTCTTCTCATGCAATGCAAGCCTTCTTTGTACATAAATAGTATTCATGCACTCAACCCTTTCTCAA